TATTAGCATAAACAAAAGGAGAAATCTCTGGCCTGGGATCACTCAGCTAAGGCAAAATCAGATAAACAGGATGGAGAGGGTTCCTCTTAAAGCAGAGCAGAACCCCCAGTGGCCCAGATCAGATGCCCCAMGTGTTTTATTTGTTTAAAAAGACCAGTTGCAGGAGGCAGCTCTGCTGCTGCTGCCCGGTGCCCTGGTCCCCCGCGCAGCTCCCAGCCCAGGGGCTCGCTGCCTTCTCCCGGTCCCAGCAGGATTTGGGATGCTGCCCATGGGAAACAGCACAGCCCTCCGACATCCTCCCCATTCATCCTGTCTCCGTTTCACCCTTTTGAAAAGCAAAATGTTTATGAACCCACTTTTCAGAAACAGGGCGAACAGGTCGGGCAGGCAAGCAAGGAAATAGTAATTAACAGCATGTACTTATTTGTTTTGTCAACTAAATCTCTAACATACCCTTGGCTCTGGCCTGCTCCCATCCTTCGGCATTGCCCTAAGCAGAGATGCTAAGCGGGATGATAAAAATGCATTTGGACAATTTCCTGGTTCGCCTCCCCGTGGCTGAAGGCGGCCGGTGGGCAGCATTGCCTCCTGCTCGGCGCTCTCAGCTTCATGGCAAGAGACGGAGGCAGCGAGTGCCCGGTCGGGAGCGACCCTGGAATTCCTGCAGGAAACCACCCTGTTTTTCATGGTGGGTTAGTGCTGCGTGCACCTCTGCCCCACGGCCACTGGTGTCTTCTCCCCGYGACAGGGCGGCAAGATCCCCATCAGGTGGACGGCGCCCGAGGCCATCGCCTACCGCAAGTTCACGTCGGCCAGCGACGTGTGGAGCTACGGCATCGTCATGTGGGAGGTGATGTCCTACGGAGAGAGGCCCTACTGGGACATGTCCAACCAAGACGTAAGTCTCGCGCTGAGGCTCCCTCCTCCCTGCGCCCTCCTTCCCCTTTGGTTTTCTTCTTTAGATGCCTGGCTGGTGTTTTCCAGTGTCGATTGCTGTGTGGTTATGATGCATTTCTCCTGTTTCCTTAAAAAGGTTGTTGTAATTCCTGTTTTTCCAGTGAACTTCTCCAAAATAAAGACTTCCATGAATTCCTAAGGCTCATGTATGGCCAAGGGAGGCAGATTCTCAAGTTAGCATCTAGGGCTTATGCACCATCTCTCTCTGTCCTTCCCCAGCTTCTTTCCTCTGCTCTTTTTGCTGTCTCATTTTTTTTTTCCTTTTCTCTTTTTCTTTTTCCCTTTTTCTTCTCTTTTTTTTCCTCTCTCTTCTCTTTGCAAGTAGAGTTATAGGTGGTTAAAGAAAGCAAAGTGAAGATTAGAGCAAGAAGAAAAAATGAATGTATTCAAGCTGTCAGATCATAATGGTGAAAGAGGAGACATTTGAATATTGATATTAAATCTCAGTGTTATTGAAAGTCATTAAGAAAGAAAAAACACTTTAATGAGGCTTCTTATTAGTAGTTAATTCCTCAAAACCCAGTATGCTCATAATTCTTCCCATGATTTTATTTCTTTCAGGATATCTAAGGCAAGACATATGAAATCCAGTTCTGGTTATCAGTTTGAGTATCCCACAACAATCACATAGCTGCCCCCCGAGGACATTAAAAAGCAGCTTTGCTAAATGACCATCCTTAAATTATGCATGTCCTGTTTAACTGCACCATCTGGACTACTTCAGTATATTCCAAGAGGGAACATACACAATGACTGCTATTTCTGAAGAGTATTTAATAATAATACTAATAAGGGCTTTTCTAATAGATTTCTTATTAAATTAAAAAAAAATCCAGTGAAAATGAGACACAGATTATCCATAATTCTTTTCCTATGGGATTTATAAGCATAAAGGAAGACGAAAATGTTAATCTGAATATGTGGTCCTGGGAGTGGTTAAGTCATTTTGCAAGTCACTGCTTTACTATGTAGAACCAAACATTTTTTCAAAGAGTGTCTGGATGTCGATGGCATTTAATCTAAACAGAGGATTTGACTGAGTTCCCTTTGGATGCGACGGGTCCCTTCTGGCACGCAGGAAGGCAGGGCAAGGAGGCGAGGCGCGCCGGGTGGCCGCGTGCTCCGCACACGGCTGCTCATCTCCACATTGCTGGTTCAGGAACCAGCAGCGCTGAGGGAAGAGGCTCTGGATGAGGCCGGCTCTGCTGCTGGGATGAGCTAGGCCGGGAGCAGAGGACGCAGGGAGCATCTGCTGCCGTCTGCAGTTGTGGGGAAACTCGGGCTTCAACCTGCTGCACCCGGAGCTGGCAGAGTCACACATTTGCTGTCCAGCTGTTGCTTCCCCAACCCTCTCTCCACCAAGGGCAGCTGCTTAATTCTGACATGGGCTCTCCTGCCTTCCCCCTATGCTGTTGGATCCCTGCTGAATCCAATGTCTGCTCTGGGTGCAGGACCTAATATTCATGTTTTCTGTACTAATGGCTGCTCCCTAGGTTGAAGTGTGTACTTAAACTCACATATGTACTTCAGTCCTCATAACCAGCTCCTAAGATTTGCTTCTCTACTTGCTGTAGCCCTTTCAGTTTCTGAATAGCCAAGGGGAAATGACAGCACCAAGACCACCAACTGCTTGAGGCCGAGTGCAAGTTCCCACTGTTCCACTTAGCTGTGGATTTGCTCCATGCTTGGGATCACCCTAAGATAAATGCTGCTCAGCTGGCAGAAGCGAGTAGGGTCCAATGTGCYCTAATGACTTCCCTTCCCGGCAGGTGATTAAAGCCATCGAGGAAGGGTACCGGCTGCCGCCCCCCATGGACTGCCCCATCGCGCTGCACCAGCTCATGCTCGACTGCTGGCAGAAGGAGCGCAGCGACCGGCCCAAGTTCGGGCAGATCGTCAACATGCTGGACAAGCTCATCCGCAACCCCAACAGCCTCAAGCGGACGGGCAGCGAGAGCTCCAGGTCTGTGCCGGCCAGAGCGCTGCTCCCGGGGGTCCCCGGCGCGTGGTAACCACCAGGAATAGTGTGGAAGAGCAGGAATTCCTGCAGGAAAGGCGTGYTGTCAAGCTTTATAAATCCGGGCTYTGCGTCGGATTTGCAGGCGAGCGCTAYGGCGTCGCTGCCAGCGCCTTGCGGGCATCGGGGASRCGGGCAGTAATTTTTATGGGAATTTGAATTTAATTTTAGGGAAAGCCCGTTTCGTGTCTCCACAGATCCTGCGTTTGGTTTTGTCTGCTAAGCCCGGCATACCTGGAACGTGCTAAGGGAAGGGAACTCCCAGTGTTGTAGGGAAAAAATAATCTTTATTTGGGGGCAGCCCAGCAGTTGGTTTATGCTGGTGAAACGCTGCTCAAGTAACAGGAGCTGCGCTAACTCACACCAGCTGCGCTGTATTATTTTCAAATATTTTGGCTTTGTAAGGTGATTTGTTTACAGCAAATCAGGAAAAGAAATCTTGGAAGAAAAGAAACAGTCTGATAGTTTACGTGCTCTTCCATGTTACTGTTTTTGCAATTTTCATATGTTTTTTAGTGAAAAAAAGTATTTATCCCTACACAGGTATTTGTGTAAATATGTGGAGGGCAGTTGCATGTACCCAGGCTGCAGTCGCTGCTCTTGGACTGGGCGCTCCTTGGCGGAGCAGTGCTGAGCAGGAGCCTGGGCTCCCAACCGAATGGCTGGGTGATAAGCACTTTGCTTAGATATATAGCAGTGATTTATAAAGGCCGAGTGAAACAAGCCCGGGTCCTGCTTCGGCTGCCTGACCGACTCCTCTGCCCTTCCCTGTGCCCCTGCAGGCCCAGCACGGCCCTGCTGGACCCCAGCTCCCCCGAGTTCTCGGCCGTGGTTTCTGTGGGAGACTGGCTCCAGGCCATTAAGATGGAGCGGTACAAGGATAACTTCACAGCTGCTGGCTATACCACCCTCGAGGCCGTGGTGCACATGAACCAGGAGTAAGTACACGGTGATGTCGCACACAACCGGTAAATCTGGATTTAATCAGCCTCTCTTGCTTCGTGCTGCATGTCCCTGCGCTCATTAAAGCGGCGCGGTGCCTCGCCTTCGGACGGAGCAGAACCCCAAAAGCCTCCGTGCTGCCTGCGCCGTTTAAGTGAACATCTCGGCGCCTCCGCCCTGCTCCGGCCGTGTTGCCTGCGGTTGMCTCCAGCCCCTTTTCCCCTCCGTGGGTGTCGGAGCGGCACTCAGCCCCCTGCTCTGCTCTTGTTTCCGCAGGGACCTGGCCAGGATCGGCATCGGCGCCGGCGCCCACCAGAGCAAGCTGCTCGGCAGCGTGCAGGCCATGCGTGCCCAGATGCAACAGATGCACGGCAGGATGGTCCCCGTCTGAGCCCGTCCTGAACAAACTCAGAACTCTCTGAAATTAGTTTACCTCATCCATGCACTTTAATTGAAGAACTGCACTTTTTTTACTTCGTCGTCTCCTCGCCCGTCGGAATATCGATCTGCAGCGTTGCTTGGTGTACAGAGCGCGGAAAGCGAGCGCGTGTCAGGAGGGGGGCCTCCAGAAATGACCAGCCGTCATTTTAAACCAGACCTGGAACAAATTGTTTCTTGGAACATACTCCTCTGTTGATCAACGCTATGTAAAATACATGTATCTATATAAATATAAAGTCACATTCGAGTTTTGATGCTATGTTTGCTGCCAGATACTGTGCTTAAGGAACAGAAACGACTTAACTTTCCTTCCCCCTGTGACCCGTAGGATTACAACCATAGTGTTTTATTTGTGGGTGAAACCACAGTCGTGCATCGTTCACTGGAATGAAGAATCTGCCCCAGGATATATTTTTTGCAGACTTGATGCATCACTAATAACCTTGCAGAAACCTCAGTGAGAATCTCACGTGGCTGCTCAGTGCCTGTCCGCTGGTGAGCGACCACCGCGCGGATCCCTGGGCGAAACGGGATTCCCGGGAGCTGCCGCCGTGGCGCCGGAGCGAATCCCACCGCGCAGAGACGCTTTGTGCACGTGGTGCCCGTAGCCAGCGGGGACGGCGGCGCTTGAGGAGCTTCCACACTTCTTTTCTCTTCCAAGGAGCAGTTCCCTTTGCCATGTGGAGAAGGTCAGTGGATCAGAGCCTCTGATGTGTTCTGTTCTTAAATTGTGTTCGAATTTCATCGCTACATGGGAAAAAAGTACCGTAATATGTATTATGGGGGGGGGCCCAACTTTTTTGGTTAATCCAGTGCTGGTTTTCCAGACTCATTGCTCAGTGTCTCACATCATTTGCTATGTTTGGTGGCAGCAGTGCCCAGGCCTGGTGTGGCCACAAGCTGTTGCAGGTTGGCACGTGCAGACAAGGTGCTGCAGCGCAGGCCGGGGCAAGGGGCTGCTCTGAGCAGCACTGAGCACCAGAGAACCTTTATTTCGGGGTGGAAGATAGCACTGAAAGGGCAAGTAGCCTTCTGGAGTACCAATGCTCAGAAAGGCACCAAGGAGGAGAAGCAGGGCGATGTCCTGCCCTTGGGCTGGCACTTGTGCTCTTGCAAGACAAGTCCCAAGCRGCTCTATCCAAGTGGGAGCAGCGGGAAGCAGCGCCCAGTTTATGTTGAGGTTTCTCAAACACCTTTTCGTCAGTAAAAAGGTACCCCAGGAATGTGGAAATTGGATTCCAAGGTCATCAAGAGGATGAAATTTATGTGAAGACTTTAAATAGAGAAGATCAGGCTCATATATGCTGCGATGGGCAAAGAGGAGGCTTTCATGGCACCTGGATAGACACTGCACTTCAGCAAGATGAGATGTATATTTTGATGGCAGTGGGATTGCTTTTTCAGTCCATAATGTCTTGGCTCCACTCTGCACCTGACAGCAACTTCAGAAATGATTCAGGTGCTTTATAGGTCAGACGTTTTCCACGTGTGTGTTAGGTCCCAAGCAGGCGAGCTGGAGCAACACRGCCGCAGCGCTGCTCCCACCACGCCGGTGGCTTCGAGCAGCGACTCGGTGTTTGCACCAGCAGCTCCCCCTCGCCMCGACTTGTTCAGCATACGGGCTGCTAAAGTTGGACCCTCTCGAGCTGCTCTGCAATATTACTCATAAAAGCTTTTCCATTTGGAGGAATTTAAGATTTCTTTTAAAAAACTGCTTAAAGCAGCATGTTTTAAACCATCATTTTTTTCCAGACACCATAAGAACRGGCTGCTCATTTTAAAGACCTGACAGTTGTACTTTCAGCAGCAAAAACTCTTTTGCTCCTTAAGTGCAGAAATATTTTAAGATTCCCATTACTGTAAATCTGTTACAGAAAGTGGAGGGTTTTTTTTTTTTTCCATAAAACCAAAATGCACCCAGTTTCCTGGACAATTTGAAGAATTGTTTTGTTGGCATCTAGTAACAGTTGCTCAAGTGCTTCGATATTTTCCMTACAGAGTGAAGGTCACATGTTGTCCACGCAGACTGAAGGCTGTGGAGGCAGTTGAGGTGCCCAAACTGCTGCCCGTGGGTTTAAGCTCCTGGTGATAAGACCTGACCAGTGGGAGGACACGTGCTTGCAAGTGATTTGAGCTGGAGCAGTGCGGATTAAAAAATAATGCTTGGCATTTTTGCCCTATTGTCTGTTTACRCTGTGGCACTGAAACCAGGCCTAAGCTGCGGCTGCTGCTTGGCTGTTGCTCCATGGATGACGTTGCCGCTTGGGCCTCTCCCAAGAGGGAGATGTTGCTGCTTGGGCAGACAGGAGCTCAGGACCTCTCCCCTGAGCTGCTTTAGCAGCTGGACCAGCAAGGGAGGCGCTGGCAAGGCCAGGACTAAGAAGAGCGGGCTTTGTTGGGAGCCAGGTGTGCGCGGCTGCTGTTCTGCCTGTGTCTTGATGCATCCATGTTCTCTTCTGTGCAGGGGAATCAGAGTTTGCTTCCATGACTCACAGCCCATCCTATGGATCATACGGACCACGGAGGACCTGAGACTGGACAGGAAGCCTTCCGGAGCTACAGTTACGTCTTCCCTAGCACTGATTCTGGGAAAAACACTCCAAACAGTCATTGCTCCCTGAAGAGTGTGTGACCTTTGCTTTCTTTTTCTTCTCCGACCCTYCGTTTTTTTCCTTCATTGGAGCATAACTGAGACTCAGCATCCACTTGTCACTTGAGGAATGTACTGGGTCAAAGCCCCGCAGACTTCCTGATTCTTTTCGTCYCTTCTGCTCTTTCTACCTTTGGTTTTATTTATATGTGTTGTTATTTGCCCTCCTCATGCCCGTCCGTCACGGCTGCCCTCGGAGGGACGCGGGTGCCAGAGCTCCCTRTGTAGCCCTGGACGCCAGGTGCCTTTGGTGATATAGGTGCCATTGCAGTGATATAAATAYCTGTTTTTCCCTTGATAACGGATTGTTACCTCCCACAAAAGGTGCGTGCGAGAGCGGGATGCAGCTCCAGGCTGCACGGGCAGCAGGGACATGCAGGGGCAGGAAGGGCTGTGGCTGTTCCTGCATCCATGAGCGTGTTTTCCAGCTGCTACACTAATCCAAGTGAGTAGTTCTGCAGCCTAAAACATGGGCCCTTTCACATTAATTCTGGAGTGGTGGATTCCAGGATCCCTAAAGGGTGATCCTGATTTTCGTGAGTATCCTTTGTTCTCACCTTACACCCTGTTCACAATCAAAACCAAGCAGTTTCCAATGACAAGGGGATGGAGGCAACCTCACTTGCATCTCCATCCACTGGTAACCCTGAATTCTTAAGTAGCCTTTTTTATCTGCAAAAAAAGAATTTTAAAGACTTGTTGAATGCGAGCAAATATATGCAATTCTTCCATTCCCAGGCGCACGCTGTGTGCAAGCTGTGAAAACGTTTTATCTGGTAACTTAACGACAAAGCAGATTCCTTGGCTCCCAGCACAGCTGAAGAATAAGAAACACCACGAGGCTTCTAGGGTCCCAGCAGAGGCAGGTGCCAGCGCCAGGGACGGAGCCGGTGCCGCCAGCACCGTGTCCTTGTCACGAAGCTGCCGCTCCCCGCGGGCTCGCGCCACCTTTGCGCTGGATCTATGTATTAAAAAATAAATATGTATAAAATACAAAATAAGGCTGGTAAGTAACCAGTGAACGGGACTGAAAAAAGCAGTATTTTTCTTTTACGTGACATTTTCATAACCAGAAAAAGAAAGATCTGAAATACTAATCAGACAAATAAAAAGAGAGTGCATTTATTTTTTTGTATCACTGCAAGTATGTTGGAATATGCAAGGACTGTGGTTAAAATTAGAATGTATGAGGCATATTTAGTTCATACTGAAAAAAATCTAACAGCATTTCTTGGTTCGTGCATTTGAATGATCTCTGGGTTAGATATATAGATTTTCTATTTTGTTTTAATTTGTAATTTTTTTCCCTTCCATGGATTTTAGGTACACATAACTTATGTCATTTATTTATGGTCTTTTATACCTAGTTTGTAAAATTGTAAAATAGCGAACAATGCAAACATTTGCATTTGAAAATAATAAAGTAGTTGCTGTACAAACCTGAAATGGGCTGATACTCTATAATTGCATCCCTTTAGTGTTTAATGTGTATCCGTGACAGAGCCGAGCACGGATTTGTGAGCACTAATCCTGGTCTCTGCTCCAGAGGGGTTAATTCTCTTCTCCCCACGTGCTTGTGGACTGAGCAGCTCGCAGGTTTTCCAAGCTTTCCCACTTTCTCCGGTTGCACATCCTGCAAAGTGCTGAGCGTTCCTAACACGGGAACGATGCAGCTGCCACCCGGACCTCGTCAGTGCTCCCGATGTTTTTTCCTGGGGGATACAGAATCCCCAGTGGGGACTTCTGCCTAAGAATAAACTGCAGGGTCTTGCTACTAGTTTCCCTTGAACCCTTGGGATACTCTGGGAATGTTCTCCCTCTGCAGCTACTGCCTGTCCCTTTCCTGGGAACAGTCAGTGCCTGGTGGGAATCCGAGAGCTTTTGCACTTCACTTTGGGCCAAGGTATCTCTTGTCCCTTTCAATACCCAAATCTAAAGGAAAAAAAAAATCCTATCAAAACATTCAGCAGAATGGCTTCATTTTCTTCAAGTATATGGATTTCAGTGAAGGATCTCGTTGYGGAAAAGACTATGAGCACCTGCAGCACATTTGTTCTCACTCTCTCCATGGATCTTCTTGCCGGCCTGGAGGCCGGAGCTGCCCGTTGCAYGTAGACACGTGCACTTGTGCCTCGACACGAGCACACAGAGCAGCACAGGGCACAGGGACGGAGCAAGGGGCCGCGTGAGGAACGGCCACCTCTACCTAGGGGCTGGGGCTGTCTGCACGGCAAGGAAAACAAGTGGATTGTGACAATTGCCAAAGAAAAAAGCCCTGCTATACACTAAATCAAGAACATGATTAAAGCTGGAGCTGCGTTTTGGGCCCTGACCTCGTTATTTTACCCTTTCTCCTTAAGGAAGTGCCCTTGGGCCACGGCCTGATTCTCTGCTCAATGGGTTGCAGACCTCTGACATATCTTATTTCTGGCTGTGGCCCTGAACATAATTCTTTGTTTACGGGAGTCTCCTCGAAAGCTGAATGAAAGAAGTTTTCTTCAAGAAGATGAAATTAAAAGCTAACGCATTCCTTTCCAATCAGCTCAGTAAAATGTATTCTCCATGCATGGATGGCGAAGGCAGCCACAGGAATACTCTCCAGCAACTTACTTTTATGCAGGCAATAGTATGTAGGCCAATTATACTCCAGTAATCTGCTCTYGATTACCAGCCTGTAGGCAGGCCAACAAAGGCAATGAAATCCTTGTCCTTGCCGTGCGTGTGGATGTGTTCGTGATTCCGCTCTGTAAAGCCCTGTATAATGACCTAAATGAGCTGAAGTATTTGGGAGTTCTCCTTTATTTATTTAAGGAAAGCGGGTCAGCAGAAGAAACCATCAGCATAGGGCTCCTCGGCGGCCCCCCATTCCTGCCAATGCAACTTGCTCCTTTGGAGTCAACCACTACAATCTCGGCCCTTGGCAAAGGCGGCTCCCTACTCCCGTCTTGGCCGGCTTTGCTGTCAGGTCTGACTTCTCCCTTGGCCAAACGATGGTGGCTGCAGCCCTTGCTCCTCAGAGACCCCAGTGTCACCAGCGTCCTGGGGACTCTSTCGGGCTGCCCAGCTACGGCTGCTGAAGAGACAGGACATCCCTGTGTCTCTGGCCAACTTTTGATCTCTAGTTTTCASAGATGRAGGAAAGAAAAAGAAGAAAGAAACTAAGCAAATAAAGGAAATGCTCACAACTGTTTCCATGTTTTGAATAACTTCTCAGCTGCACCTTAGCCTGGTTCTGAGGCTCAACACAGGCCACCCGCTCCCTTGGGCTTGGGCCTCCTCCACTGTGGGCCAACTCAGCTGGCTCAGCTGCACCAGCGAGAGCTTTTCAATACATTTCAGCTATTTTTACTTGCACAGGTGGAAATAAGACACGAAYCTGAAGTGCTGAAGCACCGTTCCTGCGGCAAAGCTGCTGCCAGGGTGGGTGCGTGGCACGCACTACTGTCACTGCTGCTTGTTTCCATATGTYAGGACAGCTCCAGCAGGGAACAAACGTAGGAAACACCCTGGAGGCTCTGGGTCCAGGGCAGCCCTGCCTGCAGGTGCCTCAGCCTTAAGGGAAGGTTCCCCCTTGTCCTGCTAAACCCAGCGACAGAGCAGGGCCAGAGCTGGCCTGGCACTGGTGGAGAGAGGGAAGTTTCCAAAGGGATTTTGTACCCGTTGAAGTCTTTGTGGAAGTCTCTGCTGTGCTCTCTACCACTCTGTGATGATAAAACCTTCAAGATCCATCCACCATCTCTTCAGGGGGGTGCCCCTCTCCSCATGATGGAAACTTTGTTGAGGTGGAGCTGGCTTTCTTGTTCAGTGGCAACAGCAGTGGCTGTTCTTTAGTCCCAACTTCCATCAGGATTCTTCTAGAGCTTCTTGGCTACACCAGCTACATGTCATCTACTGTTATGGTGTCGTCAAGGGACCTTCTTGCAAACCATCAGCCTCTTTCTAGAATGCATTTTGAATCTTAGGTGAAGTCCCTACAAATCCTTAATACCATTATAGATTTGGTTCGTAAAACTCTTTCTCTTTTTACCAGTGCATAGGAATAGGCTGCTTAGGGAGAAAACAGTAATACACTTTTGACACTGCATCTCCCTGCACTGCTGGCTCCATTATTTCTGCCTCCACCTGTGGGCAATTGGRACTGGTCACCTGCAGCACCCATTACCTCTGCAAGGCACATTAAGGCACCTGCGGCCAATCTGAGGTGAGGCCAGGCCCAGCTGGAGGGCATCTCTCATGAGTGCAGATCAGGGCTAGAGCTCCCTGTCAGCTGGCAGTTGTGCYGACCTGAGGAGGAACCTCGGAGCAGCCAGGACCCTGAGGATACAGGAATGTTTTCTACAGCTTTGGACTTCATGGCAGCTTTGGGAGTGGCAGCGGTATCAACAGGTACGAATAGTTGCCTCCGGGTGATGGCAGGTGAAGCTCCCTGAGATCATCTGGAGTGATGTAGGTGTTGAGGCTGGTTCCCCAGCTCTGTCATGGGGGTTGGCGCTGGCTGCCTTAGCCTGGGTGCCTGTGCAGGTATGTTCTGCACCCGAGAGGGCCTTGGCCTTCCCATCCGCTTACCCAGGYGGTGGGGGAGCAGCAAGCAAGCGTGGCTTAATCAGAAACACCCGCAAAATCCTGCAAAGTTTGTGTCCGTGTGTGTATTTTAATTGAGAGCAGAATCTGTATTATTTATTGTAGTTCTGCATGGTCTGATAGGGGCTCTGTTCTGTCCTCYCGAAGTTGACTGTTGTCAGACACTGAGCCAACTGACACGGGTGTTCTTTATTCACAGTGGATGAAAAGCTTTAGGGACTCATTCCGTATTTCTGGAGCACTGTAACGATCAAAGAACTTAGAGTAATAAATATGCAAGGACTTTGGCCTGTCAGCAGAACCACCAGTACACAGTTACAAGTTCTACCTAAAGCTCTGTTTTTTAATATATATTTTCATCTGAAAAAATACATAAATTGGAGTTTCACTGTTCATTGCTGTATTGCTGTTGGCAGTGCCACTGCTGTACTCTTTCAGCCCTGGCTTTCAGTCCCTTGACCCACTCACCCTTGGTGCAGACCAAGTCCCTCTTCCTCAAGTCAAGCTTTGCCTGATAGTCCTTGCTGTTTTGTCACTGCTTCTTTCTTATGCTCATCCCAAATTACTCATCTTCCCTATTCTCTGTCTCCCATTTATGTTGCTTCCTGACAAACACCCTGCTCATCCTTCGCTCTTAAATTGCCCCGGGGGAGGTTTTCCACTTCCCCTTGTCCTGACTGTGCTGTGACGTCCTGGTAGATCCACCCTGATTACAGGGCTGGGGAAACTCGTGCCTGTCACGATGACGCACGTCCAGCATCACAACAGCATCTCRTGCAGATCAAACCGATTTGGGGGTAAATGACAACCAGCCCCGCTGCAGGTGTGGGGTGCTGGGCGCTTCTTCGGTCTTGGCTGCCCCCCAAATGCTTTCCCTCACACGTGTGCCTCGTTTGGTGCATGAGTTGTCCCTCATCTACAAATGAAAACTTGCACRTGGGTTTATTAAAGAACTGCCCAGGCAATTTAAAGTGTTTCTGTAACCTGTCCTGCTTCCCAGCGTGGGACAAGTCACCAGCTGATTTTGTAATGCCGAGTCTTATTTCCTTGCTGGGTCTTTTGCTCATCCACCCTTTTCCTCAGTGGTTCTAACTTTAATTTACTGTTAAATTTATGTTAGCAGTAAGCCCTTTGTGCTAGGATTAGAAAGGGATATCTATGGATTTATAGGCTTACTGTTGGAAATCAGAATGCCATTTTAGTTCATCTCATAATCTTTAATATCTCATTATTAGTAGGAACACCATAAGGAGTCCTAACTTGAGTAACTGGAGGTCCTATTTGTGGAAAATGTCTCCATGGCAAAGTAGGAATCTGTGCAAGGAAACAGATTGGTTTCTTCCAGGTAGAACTTCGTCTAGGCTGCATCCCTGCAGATGAGATGAACTGCAGTTGGGSATGTAACTAGGGCAGCCCTGGAGCTGGTGGCATCAGCCCCGGAGCGGCTCCGTTTGTCCTGTTTTGCAGC